TCTTTTCCAACCTTAATGATTCTATGTCTAAAACCCATTTTTGCAAATATAGGCAATACGCATATAATACATGGAATGTAAATACTTACATAAAAAATATGGCAGGCAACTTATCCATCTCATGTAATTTATTGACAAAGCTTGCAAAATGCTTCCACTTTTTCTGTTCTGAGCAATCCACAGGTTTTGGCTTAAGGTGCTTCAATAGTGCATTCACCTGACCAAAGTAGAATTATTGCGGAGGTTTTAATGGCAGAAACTTCTGGCCAGAGGCTAATAAATATGAAGACTCCATTTTTGTGTGTCAACTTGTATCAGCTCAAGTTTTTTAAATCATTCAGAACTGCACTAGCCACATATAGTTTACAGACTAAAAGGTCTGCAAGTTATCAACTGACTTTGGTAAGAGCTCAAATGCAAATTGTTGTAACATTCATGGCTACCATCACTGTGCAAATAATAAAGTATCACTAACATACAGATTATGATATATTTTCACATTTAAGTGTCACATTTCAAGAAATTTGTTTTTTCCCCGGATATTCTTTATTTTTTCCTTGTTGTCGATTCACCACCTCCTCATATCCCTTTTTACGATATAGGAATAGTTGGCCTCCAGTCAAGGGCTTGATTTTCTGCTCATTGCTTTAATTTCTGTCTTTTACATGGAAATATACATATTGTCTGTGGTTACACAGAAGGTTTCAAATGAGCAGCAAAAAAGAGGTAGACTAAAAAAGCAGAGCAATAGTACAATATTCTCACTAATTCTAGGAGGTACCTAAAGGAATCAGGAATTGAAATCTCACAGCAGTATCAGAAGCCTGATTCCCAGAGAAGCTTGTGAAAACATCACCTTGAAAATACTTATGGAAATGCCACAAATATTAGTGCTTATTTTTCACGTACAGCAGCAGCAGTTAAACCTAATAAATAATAATTATGGAAGGAGAAATTCCCATAATATAATTATTACATATAATTATTATTATTTTAAAGCTGTACACAATCTTAAGAAGGCACCCTGTAACAACTGTTACCTTCTGTCTTTGGCCAAGCACAATCCATTTGCTTAGTTCTTTCTTCAGTTCCTGTTCATATTTCCTCACATCTGCCTTTTTTATTACTACTTTATTCTTGAAAGAGACAAACTCCTCAGGATCTAGCTCCTGGAAAACAACATTAATATAAAACATTGCAGTACTTTGTTATCTATTTATTTTGATATATTTTGCCCACAGCTGTGTATACACACCTGTGCCCTTGGCCACTCTTGCCAGACTTTTACCATTGTGTCATAAAGCTGGATGCTCTCTCGTGGAGACAGAGAAAGATCTGAAGGAATACCATAGTTCTCAATCTGCAAGGAGTTTAAACAAAAGAAAAATAAAAGAATCATTTTGATGGAATCCATGTTGCCTAAATGTAGCTAAACAATGTTGATACCAGTATTATGCTTACATGATTGACTGTTAATGCAGCACACGGATGACAATGTTCAATGATAAAATCACCACCCTTTAGAGAACACACATACTTTTCCAAATCATTGTATCTTTCTTCATACAAGACTGTGAAGAGACAAAAATGCTCTCATGATGCACTTGTTTTTTTTAAAAAGCAAGTACTTAATCCTGCAAGATTTGTTTTTATTTAACAGAAAAATCAAAACAAAATACGCTTAAGTTCACACACCATGATTAAAGTTTTTGCAGAAATAACACTAAAATATTCCAACACACACCTAGCCTAACACGATATGATTTCTTTTGTTCTTGTACTTTAGATTTCACTTTACATTTTCTTGTAAAGTTCTTTTCAGAGTTTGTAGAGCTTCCTTTTATTGTATTCTCAGCACGTTGCCAATACCTTTTCACAGATTGTAACCACCTGCAGTGCAAGAATAAAATAAAAATGAGAGTTGTAAAAATATTTTAAGAAAACTGCTACAGCTATAGGAGATGAATTACTACAATCTGCTCAATTTCTTCTACAGAATTTCCAGTCCCCCTCTCACCATCTTCAGTGCAATTTTCTCCAGCTTATCCCAGGCTGCAAATAAAAAATGTGTAATAGCACCATTATATATATGAATATAGTGCAAGTGTCTTCTCTGATTGATGATGGACAAGTGTGCTTACCAGGATTTGGCAATTAAAATAGATGTAAAAGCCTCCTATATTCCTCTGCACAGCTCAATTATAGGGTCTGAAGGAATAGTAGTGCCTGTTCTCATTACAGAGTTACGAGTTCCAGTATAGTTTTGTGTCAATTGGGGGACTAAGGGTAGCATAATACATATAACAATATAACTCCAAATCAGTTATCTCCCAATAGTAATTGGCCTCTCTATCTAAAACAGCTCTTATCCAATTTAAATATGCTCTTGTGAGCAAGAAAATTCCACACATACTCAGTTAGGTGTTCCGGGTTACTGACAGTAGCAGAGAGCGCCAAAAATGGACACCGAATTGTTACCAGAAGATGCTCCCAAACCTCTGCTCCAATTTCACCGCCAAGACAATGGACCTATGTTTTTGCGGAAAAAGGATTAAAAGAAAAGAAGAAGTGTTCTTATCAAAGTGCATCCATAACAGGAGTTGGTTTGTGTTTTGCAAAAATCAAAAGTTTGGCAAGATCAGTACTGAATAATTCTTATGTTGTAGCAAACGACCATGAGATCCAAATCAAATGTCCAGTGAATCCCTCTCCAGACGTCACTGGATAGCACATTAGTCTAAATTTCAATACCACATTCACTGTTAGTACCTTAGATACTCACTGGCATCATTAGCAATTAATTCTATATAAAAGAAAGATTTTTATTTTAAATTTAGCAAGATTAATCATCGCCTTTTGCTCTGGAAAGACTGACAAATACCATATGATGTGAAATGTGTATGATCCCAGTCTGGAATGCTCTATTTGTGCCACTGAGACTACAGTGGTGGCTTTTAGATTTTCCAGTTGACTGGCTTGAGAGAAATAAAGGAAGTTCTTGGTAGCTTTGACTGAACTGTGTCCTCTTGAGGACTAACAGTGTTTTAAGTTCTTTCACTGGAGTACATAAACACTATCAGCAAACACGAAAAAGCAAGGAAGTCTGAAATAATATTTCTGAAAGTTGGTTTTTTATCAGCAATAATGTATGTAATGAAAAATTGAGTCACCGGCATTTTTCCTCAAGATTTTTCATATATTTGTTAAATTGGTTACTATTAAAAGATGCCTACCTCATCAAATATAACATATTGTATCTGCTTGGTCCATTTCTGGCAACGAGGAGACAGCATCAAGATTTCTAAACATTGAGGCACGGTCACTAGTATCTAAGAAGAAAGGTTTGTAAAGCATTATTTTCAAGTAAACTGACTAATCAACTACAAGTAGATTCTATATTTAAAAAGCATTTAAAAATATATTATATATTTGATTTCAAGGTAAGCAAGAATGAATTAATGATTTGTCACTGCTATCTTCAAGAAGGACAAGAAAGAGGACCCAGGAAACTCCAGGCTGGTCAGCCTCACCTCGATCCCTGGGAAGGTGATGGAGCAACTAATCCTGGAAATCATTTCCAAGACCATGGAGAACAAGAAAGTCATCAGGAGTATTCAGCATGAATTCACTAAGGGCAAGTCATGCTTGACCAACCTTGACCAACTTCTGTGATGAAATGACTGGCTTGGTAGATGAGGGGAGAGCAGTGGATATTGTCTTCAGTAAGGCTTTCGACAACATCGCCCATAAGATCCTCACAGACAAGGTGTTGAAGTATGGGCCAGATGAGCAGATAGTGAGGTGGAAACTGGTTGGAAAGCTGGGCCCAGAGGTTGGTGATTAGTGGTACAAAGTCTAGCTGAAGACCAGTAACTAGCGGTGTACCCCAGGGATCAATAGTGGGTCTGATCCTGTTTAACATCTTCATTAATAATCTGGATGATGGGGAAAAGTGTACCCTCAGCAGGTTTGCTGATGACATCAAACGGGGAGGAGTGGCTGATATGCCAGAGGGTCAGGCTGCCATCCAGAGGGACCTAGACAGGCTGGAGAAATGGGCTGACAGGAACCTCATGAAGTTCAACCGGGAGATGTGCACAGTCCTGCACCTGGGGAGGAACAACCCCATGCACCAGTGTATTCTGAGGGCCATTCAGCTGGGAAGCAGCTCTGCAGAAAAAGACCTCAGGGTCCTGGTGGACACCAAGCTGAACAGGAGGCAGCGATGTGCCTTTGTGGCAAAGAAGGTTAATGGTATCCTGGGCTGCATTAGGAGGAGGGTTGCCAGCAAATCAAGGCAGGGGATCCTTCTCCTCTACTCAGCACTGATGAGGCCACACCTGGAGTTCTATGTCCAGTTCTGGGCTCCCCACTACAAGAGAGACTAACCTACTGGCCTTCTATGATGGAGTGACTACATCAGTGGACAAGGGAAGAGCTACTGATGTATTCTATCTGGACTTCTGTAAGGCATCTGCTGTATGCTGGCAACCAAAGGATTTTAATGTTTTTTCTTTTAACCAGAGCAAGTAATCAACTACATGTCCCCTAAGGATGAATAGGTAAGGTTGTATGCTATGGACTGAGAGTTTCTGGTAAGCAGTACAGTTATGCTTAGATTTTTCCTGAACTTTGTATTTAGTAATGGCACAATTGTTATAATTAGAATTAACATTTTCAGAAGCCAGATGGAATACAGAAGTCATTATTATTATGTTTAAAACACCCATAAAAATATACCTGAGAATTCATGACATCATGGCGATAATCTCGCGTGAAGACTCCGCACACTACCAATCCATCCGGAAGTTTCTTGGTGAATCGACTGTATATAGTTCCCACCACTTGGTTTACAAGGGCCTTAAATAAAGCAGATCATTAACAAAACTAGACAGTGTATGTCTAAAGGCATATGATCTACCGAGACATAGAAAAGCATTCAATTTTGGCACTACTATTAATGTACTAGGCTATAATGTACTATGCAATGTACTACTAAGTCTAGACTGTCAACAATGTTAACTTTAAAAAGATATGGTACTTGATTTTCAATTATACTCAAATGCTTTCAAAGAAATTCAGTGTTGTGTAAAGTGAGTTATACATTATTAATTTTGTATTTTAATTATTTTCAAAGCAGTTAAAAATAGATCACATTCTACTGCATCTACAAGCACTTTAATGATCTCAAAATTCTGGGGCTGCAGGTATAAAATACATTTCTGCACCCAGACTGATATTCAAATGAAAAGATGATTTTGATGCCCAACCTGAGTATAACCACAAAAAAATTGATTTTACTTATAGAAAACAATCCATATAAATTGTTATTGAATAACAGCACACGTAATTCAATATCCAAAAATTATACTACTGAGCATTAAAATACATTTTGGAAGAAATCAAAACATTGTGCCTCAGCACTTAAGTCAGTTTTTAACTATTAGGATAGAACTCTCATTAAAAAATATCCCACTGCCTAGAGTTTCATAAATTTTCTCTTGAAGCGTCTGATGATTAACTCAATTAGAAAAAGACAATTTGACTTGCTTGGTCATTGTTCTGTTCTAATGTTACTTTCACCATGTTGGTAGGCTTTTGGTACTCTCACCATTTACTTAACATGCTACTTCTAGCACTTTTGTATATATTAGTGTTTCTGCTATAAATTAGCTATACAGATATTAATAGACAAAAACTATACATAAACTTAAATATTTTGAAGATTTTTTTTGTAAACGTGCTGTTTCTAATAAATGCAAATGTAAAACAGAATATAAAGATTCCATTTCTAATAAAAAAATATGTATCAACTAAATTTGTGTAACAAGTTATCCCAAATGGTTTCAGAATCATACTGAGAAACACCATACTCATACATACAGAATATGTAGTAGGGTGCAGCCCTTACCTTTGTAGGAGCAACATACACAACTACTCCATCATTGCTCGTTTTCAGAACTTTTTCCATGCAATAGTATGATGCATATGTTTTTCCTGATGAAGTGGGAGCAACAATCACCGCAGACTCGTTATTATCTACAGCATCAAGAAGTTCTCGCTAAGAGAAAAGCAGTTACTTATGTCAAAATGTCTTATTATGAAGTTCTTACTGAGTAAACCAGCTATTTCTGTGAAAACATCTCTTATTTTTGCATGCAGACTTTATATACAGATTTCAGACTACAGAAAGTTAGAGTTAACCTAGTCATTTTACGACTGTATTCTTTTCTCTTAAACTGTTAGTGGAAGAAAATAGAACTACAAATTATAACTTGTCTATTTCAATTATTTGGTCTGAGATACTGATACCAGAACATTCTGAGTCCAAACCTGGACATTTTCAAATTAAAAAATAAAACCAGTGAACTCAGCAGTGTATAATTTAGTTCCAAAAACTTCATTGTTTTATACAAGGTAGTATTTTTTTCTTGCATTGTAATAGTTACATCAATACTGTTCAAATCTCTCTTCTGCTCCTAGCACACAGTGTTTATTAACCTGTTTTCTTCCCTATTATTGTCTTTGTCCATGCTCTCTCACCTTACATAGGTCTGTGAAAGGATGGGGGAAGGGGTACAGAAGAGGAATCCAAAAACTTCATTGTTTTATACAAGGTAGTATTTTTTTCTTGCATTGTAATAGTTACATCAATACTGTTCAAATCTCTCTTCTGCTCCTAGCACACAGTGTTTATTAACCTGTTTTCTTCCCTATTATTGTCTTTGTCCATGCTCTCTCACCTTACATAGGTCTGTGAAAGGATGGGGGAAGGGGTACAGAAGAGGAAACAG